GCACCTTCTCCGATAGAGGAGCACACGCTCATACTTTCCAGAAATCGTGATTGAGCAACATGCTCCTAGCTTCAGGTCAGAGACAAAAGCTGCCCATGTGTGCTTGTATCTCCTGGAAGATCAGAGTTCACTGTGGCAAAAAGACTTGCAAATGCAGCCCCGAGTTCACTGCCGATCGTGTGGGCCGTGCGATAAGATCTGTGCTTGAGTCCCTGGAAGACACATCCTAGGGTCCTCTGAGAGGAAGCTTGGATTGAGGATTTGCCCAGATCAGATTGGCCATAGGGTATGTCTTGAGTGTTAACTGATGTGGGAGGACCCAGCCCTCTGTGATGTCACCATTCCTTGGGCAGGTGATCCCGGATTGTATAAGGATGCTCATTAAACATCGGGGAGCGCAGCCAGCAAGCAAAACTCCTCCATGGTTTCTGCTCCAAGTTCCCGCTCGAGTTCCTGCCCTGACTTCCCTCGGGGATGGACTAGGACCTGAGAGCATAAGGCAAATCAGCCCTTCCCTATAAGTGACTTTTAGTTAGAGTCTTGTATTACAGCAACAGAAAGGAAACAATAGCAGTGTTTAGAGAGGGGACGGCACTGGGTAACACATGCTGGCCTCAAACCCGAGATCCCCTTCGCTTCTCTTCCAGACACTAAAATTACAAATCCCTGCCACGCAGGACTCAGAGCTGGGTTTCTGATCAGTCAAAGAATTCCACAGCACAGCTGTGGGAACATCTGGCCTAACACAAAACACACCTCTGCCCAGAGCGGATTGATACACAGACTGGCTAGAAATCAGTTCATTTCTGGTCCTCAGAATGTGGTCCGCAGACCCTCGGGGTCAGTATTATTTAGGAACCTGCTAGAAATACAAGTGTCTGGCCCCAGTCTGCTGAGGAAGCATTGCACCTGGAGTTTTCTTAGCAAAAAGTCCCCTACACGATTTTGATACTGGAAAGGTTGGCAACTGCTGAGCTTATTAAAATTAGAAGGTGGGTTCATAATTTTAACAGACTCACTAGCCTCAGCTGTTGCCTTGGGCCTGTGGAGACGGCAGAGAGGCCGTGCATTGGTGGAGTATTCCTCAGCAGTGAGCGACCAAAGGAGGCGGGCAGAGCACTAGGAGGACAACTCATGACCAAACAAAGAAGGATGTAAACACAGACTCTAGAGAAAGGGGCAGAAAATTAGTTCTGTTAGTACCATGTCTTGTACCATGAGATCAACTTCTGGCTCCCAGGAGCTTGAGCGATTTCGCCGACAGCCAACTCCTGTCATGGAGAGAAGAGACAGGCAAGGGGGATATAAAGCCGTGAGTCTGGGGAGATGGGTCAGCAGTTATGAGCACTGGCTGTTCTTGCTGAGGATAGGGGTTCAGTTCCTAGAACCCACCAAAGGCCCACAACCTTCGGGAAGCCCAGCTCCAGAGAACCAGGTATCGTCTTCTGGCCTCCAAGGATACAAGGCACTTCTGTGATGCACTTTCCATACACACAGGCAAAACTTTCATCCATATAAAATATAAAAATAAAAGAAATCTTGAAAAACATATGGGAAGCGTAGGAGTGGATGATAGCCAGTCCTGTGACCTCTGCCCTTCATGTGCATGGAGGCCTGATTTCTTCCTCTTTAAATGTCCTGTGGGTGGGGACACTCGGGTCAGGAAGTGTGGCCAGAGCACACATGTGAGTTCCAAAGCACAGGACACAGCAGCAGGGTCAGCGAGACCAAGCCGAGCTGTGGGAGCTGAGACCGCACACGAGCACTTCAGAGGACAAGCACACACCAAGTCAGGCCACCAGTGCATCCCGCACGTTACAGGTATGGAGAGCGCTCGCCAGAGCCCCTGAAGCTGAAGCTGGCTGGAAGCCACAATAGTTAAACTGTAGCTTTAAGCTAGTCCAAGCTTATCATGACAAGTGTCTCATCCGACCTGCCTCACTGTTTCTCCAGCAACCACCTGGGTTGCTCACAGGAACCTGAACTTGGCTTGAGTGTAAGTCACTGGTAGGGTGCTTCCCTGCACGTGCTACGGCCTGGGTTGATTTCCAGCAGTACAGAATTGGTTTCCACGGACTCTCCTCCCTGCTTCTTCCCCATCTCCAACCTTTCCCTTGCCCTCCATCCTCAGTAACCTCCTTTCTGCTTTTATATCACATGATCCCTCTTGCCCCACTTCCTCAACACCTCTGTCTCCTCTAACGGACCCCTTTTCAGTTTCATAGCCAATACCCACACTCACCCTCCCTTACATATTTATGTTAATACATCTATAAAAATATGGAAATCTCAAGCCACCTGAGACAGAACATGTCCTACTTATCCTTCTGAGTCTTGGATCATCTTGTCCAACATAATTCCTTTAAGATCCCATCTACTTTTCTCCAGTTTTATTACTTCAGTTTTCCCTGAAGTTGAATAAAGTTTCATCGTGTAGTAAGGGTTGTGTTTCCATGAAGCTCTGAATAGCAGTTTCTCAGAGAACAGAGACTCCCACTGTGGAGAATAAAAAAGATGGGCATTTCCCGTGGTCAGGGCAGTGCCCACGGTGGCCCATGTGCCACTCTCGCCATAGCTATAATGCTCTCTAGCCATCGTGTCCCAGGACAAAGCAATTGGAGGACCTCTTCCCTGCCTCCGCCAGCCCCTCGGCAGACAAGGCCAGGTTAGAGTACCCCTTTCTATTTCTCTGAACACGGTGGATTGATTTGCAGAAACTGAGGAGCCACATTTACTGTGTATTCATGTGGAATCTGGATCACAAACCAGTTCCTTGTAACCAACATTATAAGTCATGGATGATGGTACTGTCTTTGGGGCTCCATTCGATCCAGCCCTCTGTAGGCTCTGGGATGGATATTCAGTAAGTGTGGAGTAAACTAAATCAGAGTCATTCTGAGTGGTGGGCTCCCGATGTTGTGTGTCCAACCATTGTCATGTGTTAAGTGTGGTGTGTGTGTGCATGTATTCATGTGCATGTGAGTATGTATGCATGTGTGCCTGTGTGCATGTGAGAACCAGAGTTAGATGTTGAGTGTCCCCCTCAATGGCTTCCCACTTTATTTTTGAGGCAACCCTGGAGTTTGTGGTTTAGTCTGGGTTGGCCGACCAGCAAGCTCCAAGGACTGTCCCACCTCTGCCTCCCTAGTACTGGGATTACAGCCACATCTGACGTGTACAAGGCTGGCTGAGACTGAACTCATCTGTTTTCATGCTTAAACTGCGAGCACTCACCAACAGCCATATCTGCTCAGCCCTGTCATGCGCTAACTTGTGTGAGGCCACAGACATCCCTGAATCCCACGGCCACTGTCCAGACACCAGGCTCCTATCTCACATGTGCTGGGGAGCCAGCCACAGGCCTGGCTTATGCAGGGGGTTCTTCAAGATGCAGTAGAAAAAGAAGCAGACGGGGAGGGCGCTCTGATCTGTCTTCGCAGGACTGGTACTGCACACGCAGTTGTGCGGGATGGCTCAACTCCTGCAAGGATTATGTTTTTGCTCTCCTTAGTTGTGAGGCTCCAGGAGACCCAGAGGTTTCTCAAATCCTCATCGTGACAAGGCAGGTCTGGGATTTACATTCGACAACTGTGCTAGGCTCCCATGCAGTGAAGGAGCAGCCTTGAGCCTCTTCAGAACTGGGGACTTTGTCTTAGCCACAGCATCTGCCATTTTTTTTTTGCAAACATCCTGCCATCCCCCCAACTTCTCCCATTCAGGTTATTACTCACACCTCCTCATCCCTTCCTCCAGCTTCCAGCCACTTCCTGTTTTAAAATAATTCACTGTCTCTGAAATGATGGGAAGTCAGCAGCAAGCAGTAAGAGTCTTCCCCAGAGGTTCCCCGAGGGAGACTCCGAAGAGAGTTGAGTGGGTGAGCGAAAGCACAGCTTCCCACAGCAACAGGAAGTGGAAGCAGATGAAGCAGTAGTTTTAAACCCCAGGAGGCCTTCAGCTCTGCCTCTTCAATGAACGAATACTATCCTCAAATGCTTGGAGCAGCCTTGGTCCCCTGGCTGCTGGTAGCCTGTGTAATCAATGCGGATAACATTACAGATTGTAGTAGGGTAGAGACAGAGGTGAGGACGAGCGCCCTAGTGAACACTTCGTATATTTAAATTAGAGAAGACATACACTTAGTAGATGTGAGGGATGCTAAGTGCTCCTAGGGGAACTCCTAGGCAGCCCTGGTGCTGAGACAGCAAAGGTTACAGAACAAGATTTGTATTTGCCAGAAGTCACCTAAAGAAAATGTTCCATGTGGGGTCCCAAAATCCTAACTATAAGCTTGAGTGAGGGTAGCAGGTCCCCAAGGAATGTACGAGATCAATGGTTCATAGCCAAAGTTCTATGGAAAGGCCTTCAACTCCAGTTAATTGCCAGACTGCCCTTTTATGACTGGAGTTGTCTGGCCCATCACCATGTTGGGGAAGAGACTCGCATCGACTTACTGGAACTGTCTGTCTGTCTCACTTCACACAGCAGACAGGGCAGTTGAGGAATAGTCTTATAGACAGTTACTGGCATATGTTTGCCTCTGCATCGACTGTACCTGGGAGAGATCCCTGGGCCCTCCTCCTCACTGCCTTCTCTCAGGGGCTGCTCAGCCTGACACATGTCTCCACATGGACCCACTGAGGCCGGTGGTCGAGGACCTCCAGCCACAGAAGCCTGGTCTGAACCTCGCTGGTGCCCGAGCACCCATTAGCTCATGTGTATCACCGTCCTGTGTTAATGTGTAGATGGTTGGGCGGAGGGAGGGGCGGCCTCAGGCCTGCGTGGTGAGACAAACAGCTGTGGAGCGTGCTTCTTCACACAGGCCTTCACACTGAAGATGGACCCTCATGACAATGCCTGCTCTCACTGGGCTACTCTGTCCAATCAGGCCATGGCACAGACTTAAGGCCCGTGCTTGGACTGCTCCTTGGTGGTTAAGGCAGACATCTTAGGGAGCAGGAGGCTACAGAACCCCACTCACCCATTCTCCTTTCCATTTACAGATCATCAAGGAGGTCCCACCACCCCCTGTTGAGGAGAGTGAGGTAAGTGGCCAAAGTAGGGTGCTTGGGGTGGGCAGGTGGCAGAATGGGGTAAATTGGCCGGTTATATAGCTCCCTGCTGAGCAGGACTGGGCCCCACTGCCTGTGAAAGGGAACCTCCGGGCCTTGGCTCGCCAGGGTATACAAGACCTGAGCAACACAGGCAGCCAGGGGCCCACTGGTTTCTCTCCGCAAAGACAAACTTTAAAGTGCATACACTTGTCCGGCGTTTCTGTCTGCAAGGACTTTGGAAGATTTCCTGCTGAGGGGATGTGTTTTGGTTGTTGACTTTTTTTCTGTGCTTGACTCCAGTTATCACACGTGCTCCACAAGCTCTCCACCTGAGCTACAGCCCTAGCCGCCCCCGCCCTTTGTCTGAGACAGGGTCCTGTGTCACAGGTTGGGCTTGAACTCATGTTGCTCCTACCTCAGCCTCCCCAGTGGTGGGATCACAGACCTGTCTCACTATGTATGAATGTTTTTACCAGCACAGTGAATATTTGGGGGTTTTAAAGGTCTAGGTTTCTTTCGGAAACGTATTAGGATTCCTGTCCCCCTGCGGATATACACTTCACATGTATAGGATAGGGCAAGTTTGCCACACTCTGCATAGAATTCCTGCTCCTAAGACTGGTGCCAAGTTTCCCATTTTTCTTTAATTTAAAACAGTATTATATAAAATCTGCCAGGTGGTCATGAGTCTATGCTGGAGCAGGATGTACTAATATCCTGGCCTCACTCACTCTCAAATCCTCACGGTCTACAGACAACCGCTCAGACTCTTCCACTCACCCGGCCAGGAAGCCACTGTGCTGCTAGGGCGGCTCTAATAAACCAGCAGAGGTGTTAACAGCTGCTGGTGGGCGGGAGTTCACAGCAAATGGCTTTCCCAGCCTGGGACTGCTGGGATCCTTGGGATCCCAGAGTAGAAGTCCTAGGTCTGAAAACTTACTGGGGCCAAGAAGAACCAAGATGGGGTTTCAAATTCTTAGCGAGATTCCTGTAAGGTTTTTTGGTTTTTTTGTTTGTTTTCTTATTTTTTTGTATGCATCTCAGATACCACCTCTCAGCTGGCCCTGTCCCAGCTCAGTCCCCTACCCTCCACCCCGTCCCAGCTCAGCTGTCCTTGTCTCAGCTCAGTCTCCCTACACAGAAAGAACGATGATTGGGTTTGAAATTCCATGTGTCTCTCGTGTGCTGAAAGCTGCATGAACGCCGAAGACATAATAGCTGCAATCAATTAAGCACATCTTGCAGGAATGTTAGCTCTCTGCCCAGAAATCAAGGGAGGAAATTGCATTGCTGTGCAGAGAGAAAGGAGAAGGGAACCTTCTCTCCGTGTTGAGTCCATTCTTAACCCTCCAAGAGCAGGAACTGCAGCTAGTCCACGTTTCTGTCTGACTTTGCCTGTGTTGTGTGCATCTGTCTCTTGGAATCCCAGAACAAAGCAAGTGAGGCATCCTGACGGTCGCTATGTTCGTTCTTGGTGGAAAGTGTCCCCCTCAGTGGCATTTGTAGTGGCTCTTCCTGGGGAGTGCTCTGAATTGGCCTTTGGAAGGTGAAATGCTGGAGATTTTGGTACTGGGGTAGTATGGCCTGATGTCCTCTACATGTAACATCTAGTACAAGGTTTCACGGACATCATGGGTGCACAGACATGCAACATGCAAGGCTGGAGCCCAAACAAGAAAGAATAGACAAAAGCGAGGGAAAGCAAGAGACAGCTTTTTCAGCTTCGTTGGCATTTTTATGGAGACCATACTTGACAGAAAAAGGCAACAGTAGTTCCTGAAACACAATGATGACCGTGGACGCTTGGAACCTGAAGGCTTGTGGGAGGCTCAAGGCCACTTCCTACGGTCAAGGAGATTACTTCAGCATGTGTATTGCCCTGGGGCTCGGGAGGCCCTGGTCCCCTCCTAATGTGCTCTGGCAGGAAGAAAGGAAAGAGGGAAATCCCACAGAAAGAAATAACATAACTTTGACCATGTTAAGTATTTTATTCAATACACTGAAAATCTTAATTGGAATCTAGACGACTTCTCCAGCCCAGCCCATGTGAAGATTCCAGTGAGGCCTCAGCACAGAGTGTGTGCACTGGCCTCAGGGTGCCCTGAAGATCCTCCTCTGATGTCCTCAAGTGGATGCCTCCCTTCTCCTTCTTGGTGGTCTCTGGGTCTTGCATTAACTCCTCCCTCTGCATTAAAGATTAAGACCGTTAGATACTCAAAGGTCAGGGTGGCAGTGCATGCTGGGGACCCCAGTATTGAGGAGGCTGAAGCAGGAGGACCTCCAGCTTGAGGTCAGCCTGGGTAGGGGAGAGAGGAGAGAGGAGAGGGAGAGAGAGAGAGAGCCCCATGCAGGCAACCCCTTGCCTAATGTGTATATGGACAAGCTGAATATTAACTGACCTTCATCCGATCTATAACCATCACATCCCAAGGGAGGCTATCCTAGTCAGGGTTCCTACTGTGATGAAACACCATGACCAAAAGCAGCTTGGGGAGGAAAGGGTTTATTTCACTGACAGTTCTAAATAACGGTACATCATCAAACGCAGTGAGGACAGGAACCTGGAGGCAGGAGCTGATGCAGAGTGCTACTTACTGGCTTGTTCCCCATGGCTTGCTCAGACTGCTTAGGACCCAGGACCACCATCCCAGGGGTGGCGTCCAGTGGACTGGGCTCCCCCATCAATCACTGTTGATGAAGCACTCATTAAGAAAATGCCCTACAGACTTGCCTACAGATCAGTCTTATGGGGACATTTTCTTAGTTGAGTCTCCTCGCTTTGATGACTCTAGCTTGTGTCAATCACATAAAACCATCCAGCCCAGAGGAGCACCACTGTATAAATAACTAAACTCGGGATGAAGGCAGCTTCGTGACTCTGTGTCGTGATCCTCTTTTGTGTAAAATCCTCTTTGATGGGAAGTACAAAGTGCTCAGTGTGAAAGGTATGTCTTTCTGGGATTCCCTGTCCCTGGAAGTGAAATCCCTAAGCCAGCATAAAGAACAGTCACCTGAGCTGCAGATCTCAGCAGAAAGGAGGATGCTCAGGGTAACACCTCAAAGGGGACCCGGGGGATGAGGTCTTTTCCCACTGACACCAGAGTGAGACTTGATCTTCCTTGACTTTGTCCCAAAGAGTTGGCAGTTTCTGTGAGATTGTGTTAGCAGTGCCCTCTGTCTGGAGGCTCCTCTGGGTATAGTCACCTCTTCGGATGCCTTTACTATATTTGTGATAGAGCCATGCTATTTACTTCATGACAACATGGCTCCCTTGAGACACAATGTTATTCAGCGATGAAGGTTCCGATAACTAGTGCCTACCCAGATCATATTCATATGAAGTCAAACCTTCAGAGGGAAGGTTTGACTTCATATCACTATTGACTGTTTAGACGGAGATGGGTAAACGCAGGGAGAGTGCCCTGGACAAACACAGAAGGCAAGCAGCCCCAGGCCGCTAACACTGTGTGGCATGGGACCTCCACTCCAGTCATTAGCGAGAATGAAGGAAAGGACATACAAGTGGCTCTTATTTGGGGTCACCCAGGGTTTATCACATGGGTTCAAGATGTGTTAGGGTGCTATGATACTTGAAGTTAGGTGGAAAGATTGGGCTGGACTTTGCTTCTCATGGCTTCCCAGGGGCCCTCACAGTGAGCTGGGGAACAAAGCTCCCCTTGGTCCCCACTGGGTGTGGATGTCAGAAAAGCAGGAAGAGCCCAGTGCTTTGGAGGCTGGTGTCCTTCATCCTGGGCCAGTAGCAGTGCACTGCATATGTGCAGGAGGTAGGGAACCCCAAAATCTGAAACCTCACTCCTCCCACCCCCCGTTTCCTTAATAACTAACTTTAAAAATTAAATATTTGTTCAGTCAATAGAGGTGAGCAAAAGGAGCTTTGAATTCTCTGGGAACTGGAAGGCCACACAGGTTAGGGAACTTAGGAAATGTCTAGAAGAAAGGGTAGGAGGCATGGGGAAGGCACACAAACCCCTGCACAGTGCCATGTGGGATCATACCGCAGCCTGGCACAGCGGGGGAGTTAAAGAGTGCAGGTTCTCGGGTTTCCTGAGAAAGCTCAGCTTGGTCTTTCTGAAGACAAACATGTCAGAATTGCTCTCTGTGTCTGAGGGATGCGCTACCACGGTGTTGCCCAAAAGTTAGTCTAGTGATGTCTGGGGCAAAACATCCTTTAAGATTTAAACGTGACTTCCCTGGTGGGAAACCAACTGCAGTCCTGGCTGGGCACTGTCTCACACTGCTGACGGCTTTCACTGCTTCTGTGTCCTTTTGTCCCCTGGATTTGCTGGATTCCCATTCCCCCTCCCAGCCTATGTAAGGGCCTGGAGGGCGGCACTGTGCGACCATGGCTGTGGGTGTAGCTGGCTCTCCTCTCCCACCCTGCCATCCATTCTCCCTGCCATCTCCTGTGGGTACCCTCACCATTCCTTTCTGACCACCCCCTCCTGATTTCCCATAAGGCTCTGATTCCTGCTACTTGACGCTGTGAAACAGTTTGGCTCAGCCAATCCTGACCTCCGGGAACTATGGAGGCCACCAAAGTTTATTTACCAAAACAAAACTTTGAATACATCCCTGAAGGTGACTGGGGAAAGACACCTCCCAGAAGCCCTGAGCCCCAAGAACTTGCTCCGTCAACTTTTGGTCAAGTGAACAGACACATCAAAGGTTCTGCCTGCTCCCCAGGATTGAGCAACTCCGCAGGCCCTGGTGCATACACAACACTCCGCTTACTGCAGGGAAACGCTGGCTCTCTCTTTGCTCAAACCTTGGGCTCAGGGTTGACTTTCATGGCTTTTGTTTGGTTTGGAGAGGAAGCTCAGGTCAGGGACTAAAGTGAGGCTTGGTGGAGCTGACGGAATGTCTAAGTATTTCCTGTTGTGAATCTACATGCGGTGGGGTGGGCCTGTCTCTGGATGATCTGCCCTCCTTTTCTAAGGTCCCACACACGAGAGTGGAGAAGTGGAGAAAGGGTGCCTTGAGTGTGCCAGGAAGCCAAGGAAAGGATAGAGATGGATTTTTGTTCATTCTATACATAAGCATTCAGCTGTCTCAGAAAAAAAAAATCAAACACAGATGTGACTCAAGTTCTTATACTAAGGGGCAAGGCATCCACTGGACAGGGCATTAAGTCAGAACTTCCTGTCCGCTGCTTTGGATCTGACAGTCTCTTGTGTATCACGAAACAGCTGGAATAGGTGGTGAGCAACGTTTGCACTTCTGTAATTGACAAATGACATCACTCATAAAACCATCTTCTCTTGTTATAATACAATACCCAAGGCTGAATGGTTTATCAAGTAAAGAAACTGATTTCTCACAGCTGCAGGAAGTCCAGAGGCAAGGGGCCTGCATCTAATGAGATCTCCTTCTGTGTCATTCAGAGCATCTCGTAACACTGTTGCCTTAGAGATTACCCTCCCAAGCCATGAAGAGCAGAGGCTCATTCAAACCGCACCCTGCTGTAAAGGAAAGGGCCGGCAACCGGAACTGTCTGTCCACAGGCTGTCTAACACCCATTTTCACAGATCAGGACACTGTACTGAGAAAGACTGAATGACCTCCAGAGTCCGTGAGCATGGGGACTTAACTGTGCTCTGAAACCGTGTAGATTGACTATACCAGCTTGTTCCTGTCTACCTCACCATAGTAGACACACAGAACCTTAGGGGACTTTGTCTTTATGTCTCACAATCTCTTGGCAGGAAGAAGATGATGATGGTCTGCCTAAAAAGAAGTGGCCCACGGTAGATGCCTCTTACTATGGTGGACGCGGTGTGGGAGGCATCAAAAGGATGGAGGTAAGAGCCCTCGCCCAACTGTCTGTGGCCAACCACCTAGCGATAGAAACCCACAGAAAATGCTGGGGGCCCATGCTTGGGGTTTGGGAAGAGGTGACTTAAGAGCTATGAAGATGGAGAGGTGGAACGGTACAGCCTTTAACCTCGTGCCAGCATCTTGCCCATCATGAGTCAGCAGAGGTCACATGTCTTCCAAACCCCCCAGTGGTTTCTGTTTTCATTGGACTAAATCCCACTTCTCAAACTCATCCAGGCAGTTCTCCCTCTAATTCTTCCAGCCCGTAACTCCCCATTTTTGTCAACCTTCCTGCTCCCACTTTCCCTTTTCCCACATCTCTGGCTCACAATCCTAAAGGAACAGAGGACACGGGGCATGCACGTCACCCCTGCCACTCTGGTTCTCAAGGGGCAAACCGTGCAATCCTGTAACTTTGTTTTATGGGCTTTCACCACCATTAGGTTCGCTGGGGAGAGAAGGGCTCCACGGAGGAAGGGGCTAAGCTGGAAAAGGCAAAGAACGCGAGAGTCAAGATGCCAGAGCAAGAGTATGAGTTCCCGGAGCCCCGAAATCTCAACAACAACATGCGCAGGCCTTCCTCCCCCCGGAAGTGGTACTCGCCCATCAAGGTATGTCTCTGCCCAGAGTCCTTTCAGTCTTCCCAGCTATGAGCCAGTCTTCTTTCTTCTCCATTCTCTCCCCCGCCCCCCGGCACTCCACCATCCGCTCTGGGCCCTGATTCTGGTTTCTTGCGAAGTTAGAGCCCTGGGAGGTAAAGAATGCTTCTAGGGGGCTTTTGTCACCGTGGGTGCACATGGCTCATGTGAGGGGTCAGGACTTTTCTCTGTGTCCTTGCCCCTCTGCACCTGCACTGTGACAGCCACTGGAACCCAAGAAGCTTATAACTCTAGACAAAATCCATCCCAACTCCCTCAAAGTCTATTCTCCAAGGTCTACAAACCAAGATTCCAGCTGGTTAGTCTCCTTCCCCGCCCACACACTTGCCTACAGCCTTGCCCCTCTTCCAGGAGCTGCACAGACAAGCTTTTTAGCCTTCTCTGAGTACTTTTAGCTTAGGAACAGCCCTTATATCCATCAAGAGAAATGCCAGGTTTGGGGAAGATAGTTGAGCCTGTGAATGATTGCTCATAAACGAAAGATCCCCAGAGCTCGCTGAAGCTCCCTGGATAGGGACTCTAGGCAAATTGGTGCGCTCTGGGCTCAGAGAGAGACTGCGAAAGACACCCAGGTCAATCTCTGGCCTCCACACGCACATGTGCGTGCTTCTAGGTAGAACGTGTCTGGACTGGAAGCTGCCGTTTCTCTGGGGAATGAGCTCAGGCTCACGGGAACTTTCGTGCAGTTTCCATTTGGGCTTGTTTAAAGCCGTGAGATTCTTTTTTTAGGATAAGCCTCCCCAAGGCAAAGGGTTGAACGCTGAGCTGTGGGTGAAGCCCAGCTGGCTGGGGAACCAGCTGCTGCTGCTAATTCTTCGCCAGTAAGGAACGTGCAGTGGCGTGCAGATGTGTGCAGACAGGAAGGAGCCGAGAGGATCCTCCGAGAAGAGGAAGGGGGATTTTCTGTCCTGCCGTTTTCAGGAATCCATTCACCTTGTGACTAACACCGCATCCGTGGTTCTAGCTGAATTTTTATTTCTGGAATCTTCGAGGTTGGAAGGGCATGTTGTTCCTTTCTTAACTGGTAGTTTCAGGGTGAGTTTTGCTAAATGAATCAGGATGTGGAAAAATAGGTTTAGAAATCTGAACGTGTTGCCAGCACCCTCCTGACATCTGAGTCTGCCCAGTGAGTCCTGTCAAGTCCCTGCTGAGCCGGGCACAGATACTGATGGTGGGCCTTCTCAGCCCTGTATGAGCCAAGGGTGGGGAGAGGAAGTCAGAATGAGGATCCAGGCTTGGAGGCCCAATCTCACAAAAGACCTGCAAGGTGCCCTCAAGCCTTGCCTATTCCAGGTGCCAGCTCAAAACTATCCCAGCCGCCAAGCCTTAAGATCCCATACCTGAGCGTCCCACCCAATAGTACCTTTCTGTTGCTCCAAGGACTTCTGACTGGTGCTCCCTCCCCGGCCCTTCCTCTTTGAGAAAGTGTCTCCCTTAGTTACATAGAATCCCCTGGCACTTGTGGCAGAAGGGATCACAGGCATGCTACATCATGCTAGGGTCCTGGCTCCCGAGCTTCCTTGATCATCGTAATAAACCACCCATTCTCACAGTGTGGTCCCCAAACCATCAGCATTGGCTTCACCCATGAACTTGTTAGAAACACATATTGAAGGGTCTCACCTAAGAATGGCTGCATCAGAAACTCCAGTATAGGGCCCAGAATCTGGGTTTTAATAAGCCAAGTAGACAGGGTGTCACCAGAGATCACTGACAGCATTGCCTGAGGCAGGGCTGGAGCTCAGAGGATATGAACTGGGCACCTGACCATTTCTCTGTGACGTATTAAGAGTCTCAGCAAAGAAACCCGGGTGACCTTTCACATCGGGGCCCTTTTAACACCCACCACATTGATGGGGCGTCACTTGGAATCCAAGCCTTGAAGACACCTCTCAGGAGAGATGTGTCTCACAGGAGGAAGCCTGTGAGACTCTTGCCTGGGCAAGACTCAGGTTGAGGTCATGAGCAAGCTTGCAGGCTCCTCCTGCCTGGCGGAACAGCTAATGCCAGCACTCACACAGGCCCTCGCTAGGTCAGAGATGGGCGGGTGGCAATTGAGGAGATTATCCCTGGTTTCTGAGCCTTCTCCCTGCATCTCACCCCCTGTGGGCACCAATTAGGTTTTGATGTCCCGGTAAACAGTGTGGAGCCTGACAGAGCAGGGATTCCACCAGGTTCCACCAAAGCACGGGGTGGGGCCAAGAGAGCACTCCCAAGCCCATCACATTAGACCACCCAGCTCCTTCAGCACACTCTGTCCAGGAAAGGACATATAATGTCGGATTTGTGGAGGGAGGCAGACTGCAGAAAGAACCTGAGAAGCTTGGAGGAAGAGCAGGTTTCCTACTAACGGTCCAGACCTCGTGTGTTTAATGTGCGTGTTTCCGCTGAGCCTTTGCTAGTTAAGATGCCTGGGGGCATCAACAGGACCTCATGAGGTACTAAGTCCCGTGTGATACCTCTCATGGTGTTGTCCTAATTCCATATCGACACAGACGATGCATTGCAAACAATAGGGCTCACAGAAGGCAACCTAGGCTCAGAGGGCCCCACAGTGAGGCCACCTGGGACTAGCTACAAGAGGAATTATTACACCCCTAGTCCTGCCGGGGCCCAGTGAGAGGGAGAGATCAACTACTGGGAGCTGTGGAGAAGGCACAGAGATCGGCAATCTTAATCTTTCCCACCACCTGTCTCCTCGTGGCCCACAAGCAAAAGGCATTTGCTTATTTTGATCATATTCTTTACCTTCCCTCTACCCAACTTCATTCTTTCTCTCTCTCTGTCTCTCTCTCAATCCAAAGCAAACAATAAGACAAACAAAACAAAAGGACACACCAAAAATATGCAGGATATTTTGTGTTGGGCAACTACTGGACATGGGGCCTGCCCTGGAGTGATAGGCCCAGGGACACTCCATTGGAGAATTTCTGACTCCTTTGGAGAATTTCTGACGTTCCCTTTCCTAGCAGCTATCTGCTGCAAACAGCTTCTTGGTTAGGGATGGGACTTCATGCCCACTTCCCCTCCTCCATGCTGGAACTTTTGTCCGGTTTGAACCTGTGCAGGACCTGTGTGCTGTCCCCAGGCCGTGAGTTCATGTGTGTGTCAGCCCTGTTGTGTCTGGCACGCATGAGTTTCCGAGCTCGCAGAGACTGTGGTTTTGATGTTTTTCACTGGTTATGTAAGTTCTTATCCTCCTCACTTTTACTCTTCCTGAAGTCTTTCTTCTCTGGTTCCTTCTAGAAGATGTCTGTAGACCTGTGCCCTACAGGGATGCAGTTACCACAGGGAGACAGGGAAGCAGGGAGGGTCTGAAGAAACAAACGCCCCCACTCACCATCATCCCACTCATGCCCTTCCAGCCCCCCCCCCAACCCCGTGCAACAAGAGAATCTAGCTGGCGCAGCGGCAGCATGCCAAGAAACACAGACAGTAGGTGAGGACAGGCAGCTCCAGGAGAAGGACCAGTACACACTGCGCCTGCCTTCCATCCCCGCTGTGAACAGAAAGAACCCTGCTCCAGCACAGAACTCTCAGCAGATCCTGCGACCATGTCTAGCTCTCCAGCAAAAGGGGCTGGTACCATCTACATGGTGAAATGGGTTGCAATGGACCCCCCTTCTTCCTTTGTTCCTGAGATTGGAGAAGCAGGTGGGCTAAGCAGCCCAGCAGGAGGTGAGGGGGGAAAGGGTTACAATAGGCTCCTCCTCCTGTCCCCCCATCGTACCCCATGCTATATTAAGACACTGACCACACCAACCACACTTCCCCCATCCTAGTTCCAGGATCATGATGGGGAATTTCCCCTGGTATTTAGCTGCATTTTCCTTTGCTTGGTTTTTGCTTCCTCGATTTACAGCACCCCGTGCTTCTCATTAAACAGAATTGGCCATTTCAGACGAGTTAAGTCATGCCCAGATACATGGCCACCAACTGGCTTAAAACTAGGACTGGCTGCAGACGTCAGAGAAACTATCCATCTCTTTTTCCAGTAGCTTCTCCACATTCCAGGAAGTGAGAGGAACGACAGCAAAGGGGCCAAGCCAGAGCCTGCCTTGAAAGACAGCCAGGCTGCTCCCCAGAAGTGGCAGGCTGTGACAGGGCAGTGGATCAAACTGTCATGTATTCCCAAGCCTGGAATTCCAGCTTTCTACTCAGAGCAGAGCTATAAATTGAGCTATCGTTGAGTTTCCATCGCAGAGCCGAAGCCACTAGCTAAGATAGATAGCCCCAAAGAGCGGCGAAATGAGCGCAGAAGCTCAGCCACGCCCCAGGGTGCTGAGAGTGGCGGCCCCTAGGTCTCCCCGCTATTCGGCCCAAGCGGCATGGCCCCTCGCCAGTCTCCATGCATTAGTTACCGTCTGAGGCACAGTGAGGTGTGGCTGTGGGAGCGTGGGCCTGGTGAATTTCCCATTTACCAGTCAAGTGGAGTCCACTTCATATGGGAGAAGCTATTTTTAGGTGTCAGCCAACACACCCTGGCTGGGGCTCCCGGGTTTGTGGTGGAGGCTCTGTCGCAGTTTCACAGAAGCAGCGGGCATTTCGCCTGGGGGATGAAGACCAGAGTCTAAAGTGTATATGCTGAGCCTGAAGGACACAAAAATGTCCTCGAGACAGATGCCCACTCCCACGCCCCTCAGGCCTTGGAAGGGGTCCTCTGGGGCACTGCTACCTTCAGAAGGGAGCCATGCACAAGCCTGACACTGTTGCTTTAAAATGACAGCTCTCGGCCATGTTCAGGAAATCTGGGCTCTGAGAACCTTTGTCAGAAAGCTGTCTGCTTTTAAAGCCTTTTTTTAACCTTAATTTTTAAATTTATTATTGTGTGTGAGAGAGTGCATGATGGGAAGAAGGCATGTGTCACGGCTTACATGTGGAGGTCACATGCCACAGCTTGCATGTGGAGGTCACGTGCCATAGCTTACATGTGGAGTTCAGGACATCTTTGCAGTCAGCCGGTTCTCTCCTTCCACCTTTACACAGGGTCTGAGGTTTAGCTTATTAACCATTATGCATCCATTGGGACTGGTAGGGAAAGCTTACATCAGTGCATACAGAGAAAGAGGACAGGAGCCTGAGGCAGGAAATGTTTCACTGACTAATGGGCATGTGACAAGGGCCCTGGCCACATCAGGGAATGTGGAAATAGTGGGATGGAAAGAAGCAACAGGTAAGCGGGGGGGGGGCAGAGAGGACTCCCCAAATATGACTGATGGTGGACATGAAGCCACGTGGAGAGAGGCCAGCCCTCTGCTGTATAGCGTCCACCTGCACGAACAAAGACAGGGTGTGCAGAAGAGTCCATGCGGGGAGAAGAGAGCTCATTTGATTTACTGTGCCTGCTTTTGGCTCCTGTTAGACATCCATACTTCATCATAATTAAGGTTTGGTAGGTCGTTCCATGCCTTGATCTGGACCTAAATAGGTCACGCTGTACCTAGACCTGAACCTCAAGAGAGGCCCAAGATGAAGACAGAACGCATGAAGCAGGAGGCTGGGTGGGAGAGTCAGGCGAGGCATAGCACAGATCGGGCCCATAGGAACACTGCACCCAAGTCAGGCACAAACAGAGGGGAAGGAGCAGAGAGGGAGAAGGACACAGGCCAACCCTAATGGAGGCAAGGCCAAGGGAAAGGAAGACTCCTGGGAGGACAGCGCAGTGGACCTCCAGAATACGGAGGGGTTTGATGGTCTCAGTGCAAGCCGCTCTGAGGGCGTGACTGGAGCCAGAATACATGGTGGTGGGCGGTGATGAGGAGGCATGTCACTCCAGCTTGAGAAGGGGGTGCTGGAAGAACACAAAGGGAAGCTGGGCATGTGCTTGTAGATGTCCATGTATTGGGTAACTCTGCCCTGCTATTCCATCTAGAGATGTCCAGTATTGGGTAACTCTGCCCTGCTCTTCCATCTAGAGATGTCCACGTATTGGGTAACTCTGCCTCACTCTTCCATCTAGAGATGTCCATGTATTGGGTAACTCTGCCTCACTCTTCCATCTAGAGATGTCCACGTATTGGGTAACTCTGCCCTGCTATTCCATCTAGAGATGTCCATGTATAGGGTAACTCTGCCCTGCTCTTCCATCTAGAGATGTCCAGTATTGGGTAACTCTGCCCTGCTCTTCCATCTAGAGATGTCCAGTATTGGGTAACTCTGCCCTGCTATTCCATCTAGAGATGTCCACGTATTGGGTAACTCTGCCCTGCTCTTCCATCTAGAGATGTCCAGTATTGGGTAACTCTGCCCTGCTCTTCCATCTAGAGATGTCCACGTATTGGGTAACTCTTCCTTACTCTTCCATCTTTGTTGAACATCCCCAATGTCATTTCAGTGACTTTACTTTGATTACAGATGGCATATTGTGAATACTTTTCCAGAGAGGAGGAGATAACTTCGATGTTTAACTTTTAATTTATAGAGAAAACAGTATTATTCACCCCTGCCCCCACTTTAAGCAGAGCAAGCCCTGGGAAGTTGGGACAGCTCTGTGGGAGAAGAGAAGGCCCAGCTTCACTTCCCAGGGTTCTCGAGTACTCTGTGTTAGGCTCTGTGTGGCTGCCTGCTCCACCGAGAGCCTAAGTCACTGTCTCCTGGGCCTGCAGAGTTCGGCTGTGCGCGCAGGTTTCTGTCTCTGCTGAGCTAATTCATTCCTGTCTTAATAGCCAGATCTTCTTCTTTAAGCCTCACACCATTGTTCCTCATTTGTTCAGGGTTTGAGTGGCTGGTAAATAAGGGGATTTGGGTGGGATGATTTATGAGCCAAATACTAGAAGACGAAAGCTATCACCTGCCTAATATCTTTAGTGGTAAGGACTTGTCCCTAAAACCTTCTAGGAAACATTTAGCTGACTCTCCAGCAGAAAACTCTTGCGAATGCCACACCAGTTCTGTCCAGCAGCGACACCAAGCCCACTTCAGAATATTTTCAAAGACTTTATAGCCTCTTTGCAATAAGAGATGAGAAACTCAACACTCGGCAAGACCACATTGAACCCTCAAAAGCTTAAGCAACAGCTAGCCAGTGTTCAAGAGCTGAGTTTTTCAGGTGTGTGTCTAACCCACCAGAAAGTGACGTCAAAACCTGGAGTTCTCTGGGATGATCAGTGCTCTTGGCGTAAAGTGTTTCTGTTGAAGCTGAGCTCTGCGGGTGTCCCCTGCCTTCCTGTCACCATCCAGGACACTACACAACCCATGCAATCGAATATTCCCAAGGCTCCTGTATGACGCCCACTTCACATAGAGGTCTAAGATATACATGCTCACAAACAAAGCACAGCTTTCGCAAAATAACCCTATCGTTTCTCATCACTTGTTCTTCATCTTAATATTTTCTATTATATCACTCAGAATTTCTAGGACAAAATCAATCCCATGAGAACCTAAAGGGTTGCAACCCTGCTACCCGTGCTGTGGGGTAAAGCTCCTCAGCTAGCCCTTCGCGGGCAGGAACCACGGTGGTGGTGTGTGAGCTTTGGAGTCAGCCAACACCCGGTGACAGGGTGTCTGTTTGTGGGGAAGACATTTAATCACTCTGACTCTCCATTTTCTCCACACTGCTCTGAAAACTGCTGAGAACATTAAATGAGAGGATACGATGTAGAAGCACCTAGCACCCACGGTCATTCAGCACCCAGCACCTAGCACCCACGGTCATTCAGCACCCAGCACCTAGCACCCACGGTCATTCAGCACCCAGCACCTAGCACCCACGGTCATTCACCCAGCACCTAGCACCCACGGTCATTCAGCACCCAGCACCTAGCACCCACGGTCATTCAGCACCCAGCATCTAGCACCCACAGTCATTAAGTACCCAGCACCTAGCACCCACGGTCATTCAGTACCCAGCACCTAGCACCCACAGTCATTCAGCACCCAGCATCTAGCACCCACAATAATTCAGCACCCAGCACCTAGCACCCACAGTCATTCAGCACCCAGCATCTAGCACCCACAGTAATTCAGCACCCAGAACCTAGTACTCATGGTCATTCAGCACCCAGCACCTAGCACCCACAGTCATTCAGCACCCAGCACCTAGCACTCACGGTCATCCAGCACCCAGTGCCATACATTGAGGGTTAGGCACACAGCAGTGGGCAGAACCAAACACACCATTGCTTTGGTAAAGCTGCTGTTCCAGTGGGCAGAGATACACAGCAAGCTGGTGACCACAGAATATGGCAATGGGTAGAAAGTGCTGCCCTGGTTTCCGGTCACTGTTATCATAAATTATAGAATACAAGAGGTTAAACAGCACAGATTTCTTATCTTACAGTTCTGAAGATGAGAAGCCCACAGACCTCACTGGGCTAAAAATCTAAGTCGGGGGGCCAGGCCGTTCTCCTTTTGGAGGCACCAGAAGAGAATCTGTTTCCTTGTCCAGATCCTGGGGTCTGCCTGCACCTCTTAATTGTTTGAGCTCCTTCCCTCCCCAAGGCCAGTCCCCTGGGTTTGAGTCCTCTAAGTGAGTCCCCCTGAGACACATCTCTAATCCTTGGGTCTCCTTGGGTCACCCGGGTGGTCCAGGCTGGTTTCTCATCTCCAGCATTTAGTTGCATCAACAAAGCCCCTTTTGTCCTGTAAAGTGACATGGCTGGGGTTCTAGGGAGCCCTTTTTGAGAGCACTTTTATCATAAGCCAAGCTTGAGGGCCTGGCCCTAGACTTCCATATAGGGGCCTTTGTTGTTGTTGTTTCCTTGTGGGGAGGGCAAGAAATTGTCCTATAGCTGTCATCGTTTTCTTTTATTTGGCCACCACTTGAGAGGGTAATGACAGCTAAGTCAAAGAAGCTGAATGAGCCTCAGTGTGGTGTGTCTGTGTGTGTGTGTCTCTGTGTGTGTCTGTGTGTGTGTGTCTGTGTGTGTCTATGTGTGTCTGTGTATGTGTGTGTGTCTGTGTGTATCTGTGTCTGTCTCTGTGTGTGCCTCTATGTATGTATTCTATGTATGTATTCTCTATGTATGTGTCTGTGGGTGTGTGTCTGTGTATGTGTGTGTATCTGTGTCTGTGTGTCTTTGTGTCTCTGTGTGTATGTGTGTGTGTGTCTCTGTGTATGCGTGTGTGTCTGTGTGTGTGCGTGTGGGCAGAAGTTGGCACTGAGTGTCTTTCTCAATCATTGTCCACCTTGTTTATCAGGGCAGATTCTCTTGCCGAACCTAGAACTCGCAGATCAGTTAGCCAAACTCGCCAGCCTGCCCTCCACTGCACAGGGATGACTTACCCGTGGGAGGCATCTGCACCTTGGTCCTCAGGCTTGCATGGCAAGCAGTGTATCCTCCGCATCATCTTCCCAACCTTACTTGCAGCTCTTAGAGTGTGTCCCTCGCATTGAGAGTGGAGTGCCCCTAGCCTGCATTCACCATGTCACCCAAGCTCTGTTTCTAACATGCGGGAGAACCTGGGGAGTTCTTCATATCTACAGCGGCTGTCCACCAGGCTGGTTTTCTATGTAACCTTCATATCTACAGCGGCTGTCCACCAGGCTGGTTTTCTATGTAACCTTCTTCATATCTACAGCAGCTGTCCACCAGGCTGGTTTTCTATGTAACCTTCTTCATATCTACAGCAGCTGTCCACCAGGCTGGTTTTATATGTCATCTTCTTCATATCTACAGTAGCTGTCCACCAGGCTGGTTTTATATGTAATCTTCTTGTATTTGTTTTGTTTCAGGGAAAACTCGATGCCTTGTGGGTTCTGCTAAGGAAGGGATATGACCGAGTGTCCGTGATGAGACCACAGCCGGGAGACACGGTAGGCTGCGCTAGCGGTCACACACCACACACACACACACACACACACACATACACACACACACCTTTCCCTTTCCCTCTGTTTTAGTAGTGCCAGAATAACTGCTCATGCACAACTACAGCTATTGTCTCCTGCGCCGACAAATCAGATGCCAACTTCTTAAATCCTGGTTGTTGCCAGACCTTGTGTTGGGTTTGCTTTTCTGAAAAGGAGTTTGATAGCAATATATCATATTTAGCTTCCTAGAACTTGAGAATTGCAGTCTGGAGTGCAGTGGGTGACAGTTCCAGGTAGGCTCATGCAGCAGGCAGCCTCCAGTGGGACGTCTGTGGCCCTCATCGACACGGGCCACTGGAGAGACACAGAGCCAGCACCCCAGGAGAGGTGTGTGGTATGCATAAATACACGCAGACACACACTGGAATAAGTACATGAATAGCAATTTAGGAGAAAAGGGCAGTAGTCACGCAGCTGGTCACATTGCACCCACAGTCCAGAAGTGGACAGGGATGAACGCTGGTGCTCAGGTCACCTCTCCTTGTGGAGGACCCCAGGACCTGGGCTGTCCACCCATAGTGTGGGTTTTCCCACCTCAGTTAACCTACTCAACATAGTCCCTCACGGTGCCTGAGGCTAAAAACCCCCACAGGTGTGCCTGAGGCTAAGAACCCCCACAGGTGTGCTGAGAGGCGAAGAACCACCCCCACAGGTGTGCCTGAGGCTAAGAACACCCCCACAGGTGTGCTAAGGCTAAGAACCACCTCCACAGGTGTGCTGAGAGGCGAAGAACCACCCCCACAGGTGTGCCTGAGGCTAAGAACACCCCCACAGGTGTGCTAAGGCTAAGAACCACCCCACAGGTGTGCTGAGGCTAAGAACCACCCCCACAGGTGTGCCTGAGGCTAAGAATCACCCCCACAGGTGTGTCTGAGGCTAAGAACCACCCCAACAGGTGTGCTGAGAGGCTAAGAACCACCCCACAGGTGTGCCTGAGGCTAAGAACCCCCACAGGTGTGCCTGAGGCTAAGAACACCCCCACAGGTGTGTGTGAGGCTAAGAACCCCCACAGGTGTGCCTGAGGCTAAGAACCACCCCCACAGGTGTGCCTGAGGCTAAGAACCACCCCCACAGGTGTGCTGAGAGGCTAAGAACCACCCCCACAGGTGTGCTGAGGCTAAGAACCACCCCCACAGGTGTGCTGAGAGGCTAAGAACCACCCCCACAGGTGTGCCTGAGGCTAAGAACCCCCACAGGTGTGCTGAGGCTAAGAACCCCCACAGGTATACCTGAGGCTAAGAACCCCCACAGGTGTGCCTGAGGCTAAGAACCCCCACAGGTGTGCCTGAGGCTAAGAACCCCCACAGGTGTGCCTGAGGCTAAGAACCACCCCCACAGGTGTGCCTGAGGCTAAGAACCCCCACAGGTATGCCTGAGGCTAAGAACCACCCCCACAGGTGTGTCTGAGGCTAAGAACCCCCACAGGTGTGCCTGAGGCTAAGAACCCCCACAGGTGTGCCTGAGGCTAAGAACCCCCACAGGTATGCCTGAGGCTAAGAACCACCCCCACAGGTATGCCTGAGGCTAAGAACCCCCACAGGTGTGTCTGAAGCTAAGAACCCCCACATTATGCCTAAGAGAGTTCTTGGGCAGAAAAGACCTCTGTGGTGTGCCACCCTACTCCCCTACTTTGTTTTGCATAACCCTAGGACGCTCGCTCCCTACAGACCTGTGGTGATGACTGTACGAGATTTATGGGCCTGACCACATTTTCCATCAACTCAAAGTCACTCCCACCAGCCATGTGCCTGTGAACAAGAGTCACAGGTTCTGAATTTTCCTCTAAAGCAAAACAAAAACAGAAGTCTCAGCCACACTCTGAGCTGCTTCCGAGTGCTGTATTCCAGGAGCCTGGCAGCTCCTCCCCTTCTCCTGTCCCCTTCTCCAGTCAACATACCTGGAAGGACAGACAGATTTAGGGCCAGCCCAACACTGCAAGGGCTATGGAAACTTGAGCCTATTACCTCAGAGCTGAGCACAGGACAGGCATGGCTGCTTCCCCACCTATGCCCTCTTTCTGCCTGGGAAGGCTCACAGCCCATGGCTCCTTGAATCCCACCAGGGAATCCCTAGGTCAGTGTAGAAGGGAAAGTGACAGGACCACTTAATAGCAAGCCAGTGACCATTTGTTATACCCAGCATCCTAACATTTTTAAAAGTTTACTAAGCAAGGGGAATGGGGGGGGTTCCCTTGCTTGCGCCAATCCCTGCATCCAGTAAACAGTCACTGAGTGCCCTTCTAAAGTTTCTAAAACAAAGCCTTCAGTGTGTCCTTCTTGACGTCTGACATGCAAGAAATAGAAAAGAACGAGAGAGAGAGAGAGAGAGAGAGAGAGAGAGAGAGAGAAGAAAAGGAAAAAAGAAGAAAACTCCAATGTTTGGATTGACCAAAAAAGTCTCCCTTTCTGTTTCATCTGCTGTTCGCCCTCATTCCTTGGTCAACTCCTGATGCCAGCTGCATGGAGCTCACTGTTCCCTGAACCTGCTAGGACCTTGCTGTCTCTCCAATGGTCCTGCTTCTCTATTGCTGAGGCTGTCGTAGGCATTCCAGTCACGGCCCCTAAAAGTTTACATAAATTTGCCTTCCTGTCAGCGTCTTCAGCAGATTCAATGGACTCAGGAAAGTCAGCTGTCTGATACAAGCTCATTTGGTGGGACAATTTTGCAGATGCTCCTTTTTCTTCTTTCTCCGGTTATCTTTTCATCCACCTTTAAGATTTACTTTTTTAATTAATGTATGCGTGGAGAATATCTGTATGTGTGTAGGGGGGGTGCCCATAGAGGAGCATCAGATCCCCTGGAGCTGGAGTTACAGAAAGTTGCGAGCAGCTTGACATGGATGATAGGAACTGAACCCAGGTCCTCAGCAAGCACAAATGTTCTTAACCACTGAGCAATCTCTTCAGCTCTATTGATCCACTTTTCTAGTGAGTTTTAAGGCTGACTTTTCCAAAGACACTTTCTTCAGTAACTAAGGTTAGCACACAGGAATAAAACAGGTACATCCGCCGGGGACTCCTGGAGCAGATCAGTGGTTCTCAGGGGTGGGCAGGCTTCAGAATCACTTTGAAACTTTAACAGGTTCCTGGGCCCCATCTCAGAGCTTCCCACTCAGTCACTAATGGGCAAGACTGGGAATTAGCATTTCTAAGGTGACTCCAGATAACACTAACTGCAGGACTGGGGTTCACACTTAGAGCCAGGGAGATAACTGAACTCAGTGCCATCAGAGCCCCCCAACCCCAACCCTGAAAGCCTGGATTTTAACAAGATTTCCATACATACCCGACTGCTGAGTCATCTCTTCCTGAATTTCCACGTGACCCATGGCCTTGGTGCAGAATATCTTACCTAGCTTAATAAGAAATAATAAGCCCTGATCCGCTGCCAAGAAGTCTCCCTAGCCAGATCCTGTGCCTAGATCACTAATCCCAAACACATTATTAGGTAAGAAAGGGTGGATGACATGTAGTGATTTCCAGGCCGGCTTCAAGGCACATGGCTCCCGCTCTGGTGATTCTTTTCAATCGCTCTGGCTACGGTCTGGGCTCTCTGGACTGTACTAACAGGATCCAGGGCTGAGAACGAGTAAAATGGTTCCACAAAATGTCATCCTCTCCTATCGGGAACAATTTAAAGGCAAGTCTCCACATTCTGAAACACAGAGAGTGTCATAGGTGTGCAGCAAGTGGACAAGTCACAGTCTTTTTCCTCCCAGGAAGGGAGGCCAAGTCTAGATTCTGGCTGCTGATGTTGTGGTTGTTTGGGGGTAAGGAGGATGACCCCCACCTTGAGTCTCTGTGGATGGAAGTCAGTGCTGCTCTCCACAACCTAAGCCTCACCCCCTTCTGTCTGCCCCGGCATGAACCCCAGTCCCTCACGTGCTGCTGGATGACCCATGGAGCTAGACCTTTGTTTTGTTTTTAGCTCCTTGGTTGCTCTCAGATCTGGCATCAGGGACTGGTACATTCCATTACTCCCTGCACACAACACGCTCGGAGCTTGTTTTGTAGACTGGGAACTCCTTGCGTCCAGAATAGATCTGAGGAAATGCACACGTAAATGTATGTAAACAATGTCTGCCGCTCGTGAATGTCAGCACAGCCAGCCCTGGAGGTTGAGCAATCTGAGCTCCAGCCCCAGGGCTGTCTTCTGCACAGCTGTTTGCAACGAGGGACCAAGGTTACTTATGTGGGCTTTGTGTCTGCGCTGTCACAGAGAAAAGAAAGAGCTGAGTAAGTTGTCCATCCCAGGGACTTTCTGAACAGGTGAGCCTCCAGTACCATGCATTGACATGGCAAGCATGCTTGCCTCATCATCTTGTTTCTTCTCCTTCATGAGGCCTGCATTTCCTCTTTTTCATCTTTCCATGTCTCCTTCCCATCAATCAAACATCTGTGGTACCCCCACAAAGGATCCATTTCCAGGATGTGCGCTAGTGATGCCCAGTGGAGTAGCACTTCATTCTGGCATTCGAGTTTGGTGTATGGTCACTGCTCTAACTGAAAATGGTTACAGAAACACAGAACCATTCATGGTGATGTGGGGCCGGCACATGTAACATCCATTCACATAAAGCTGGGGACCAGGGCTCAGCTCTCGGCAGGCACAGCTGGAAAGAGGATCAGAAGAATGACCTCAGGGCTTCTAGATCTAACCACACACTCGGTCCTCTGCGTTCCTCCCCTCATTCCGCAGAACACCCAGTAGTGCTGGGTATTCCGTGACACTCACTGCGTGGGAGTGGGAACAAACAGGCAGGTCCCCCAGCACAACCTGGTTGGAGCGACTCTGAGATGTGGCTGAAACTCCCGGAAAAGCATCTTGTCTGCTCTGGAGTCAAAACTGGCTTCTGCATATCAGGTCTGAGCTCAGAAGGGGTCTGAGAGAAGCTCCTGGGCAAAGAGCTTCAAGTCAGACTTCACGAAGATGCCAGGCAGAGT